GCTGGGACTACAGGCGCCCGCCACCTCGCCCGGCTAGTTTTTTGTATTTTTTAGTAGAGACGGGGTTTCACCGTGTTAGCCAGGATGGTCTGGATCTCCTGACCTCGTGATTCGCCCGTCTCAGCCTCCCCAAGTGCCTACTTTCTTTACATTCATGGAATTCTTCAATTTTTCACCAGTTGTATCATGATGTGTAATAAATTCTGAAACACAAATAAATCCCCGCTAATTCCTAACATTTATAAGGTGTCTCACATTTAGAATTATAGGTTTTTATTTTTCCAAATCAGTATGAATTTTCTCATGTTAATCAAATTCTGAGCCATCCCTCATTTCTTCATTCACTCCTGGTTCCTGAATGAATTCTTTGATGTTGACTAAGGTGTGAGGCCCGAATAAAGGCCTTTCCACACTGCTGACATTCATACGGTTTCTCACCAGTATGAATTTTCTGGTGTCGACTAAGTTCTGAACCACGACCAAAGGCCTTCCCACACTCCGTACACTCATAGGGTTTCTCACCAGTGTGACTTCTCTCATGATGAGTGAGCTCTGACCTTCGAATAAAAGCCTTCCCACATTCCTTACACTTATGGGGTCTCTCCCCAGTGTGAACTTTTTGATGTCGAACAAGTTCTGTGCTACAAGTAAAGGCCTTTCCACATTCCTTACACTCATAGGGTTTCTCACCAGTGTGAGCTCTCTGATGTCGGGTAAGTTCTGAGCCACAACGGAAGGACTTCCCACATTCCTTACACTTATAGGGTTTCTCCCCAGTATGGACACTCCGATGTCGAATAAGATGTGAATCAGAGATAAAGGCTTTCTCACATTCCTTACATTCATGGGGTTTCTCACCAGTATGAATTCTTTGATGTAGACTCAGCTGTGAGGCACAACTGTACACCTTCCCACACTCCTTGCATTCATAGCGTCTTTCACCAGTATGGATTATCTGATGAAGGCTCAGTTGTGTGTCATAACGAAAAGTCTTCCCACATTCCTTACATTTATGGGGTTTCTCACCAGTATGGATTCTTCGATGTCGAAAAAGGTGTGAGGGACGGGTAAAGGCCTTCCCACACTCCTTACATTCATAGTATTTCTCATCAGTATGGATCCTCTGATGTAGATTAAGCTGTGCGGTGGATGGAAAGGCTTTCCCACACTCCCTACACTTACAGGGTTTCTCGCCAAGATGCATCCTCTGATGCTGACTAAGTTGTGAGCTGGAATGAAAGGCTTTCCCACATTCCTTACATTTAACGCTCTCTCCAGTATTAACGCTCCAGTATTAACGCTCCGAGGTTGAGTAATTCCAGAATCACAATTAAAGGCACATTTGTTATTTTCACTATGGTTTTTGCTTTCATTAAGCCTCTGATGCTTAATCAAGTCTGATCCCACCATTAAAGATTTTCCTATGTTCTCCACATTTAGGGTCTTTTTTCTTATTATGAATTATTTCATGTTGAACAGGACATGACTGGCACCTGAAAGCATTCTTACATTTCCTGCATTCACAGGATTTCTCTCCAGTATGAATCCAGTGATGTTCTCTATGGGCTGTGCACTGCACGGAAGTAAATGGTATTACAGCTTGTCTGAAATGTCCCTCCTGGAGACCCTGTTGTCTCTCCACCTGGCATCTGATTTCTCTGATGGCTCTGACCCTCTCCTGTTGCGGTGATCTAATTTCATAAATGTTTTCCTTTGGAGAGAAATTCTTGGTTTCTCTTCCAAACTCCCAATCTGTAAAATAACAAGAAAGAAAATGGGAGGTATTTTCACATTGCAGGACAAAGAAAAGTTCTGAAGTAAAAATGACAAACTAAAAATAGTTAATAAACAATTCTTTACACGGCAATTTAAAAAAAAAAGGGAAGTGAAAAATGAGAAAATGAGGAGCTTTTGGGCTCAAGCAATCTGCCCACCTTAGCCTCCCAAAGTGTTGGGATTACAGGTGTGAGCCACTGCACCCAGCCACATCTCTGATACTTTTAAAGACCCTTGTGATTACACTGGGCCCACTTGGATAACCTAAGATCCTCTCCCCAACTGAAGTTGAGCAGATTTGCAACCTGAATTCCCCCTTACCATGTAAGGGTAACATGTTCACAAGTTTCAGAGATTCGGATATGGACATCTTTGAGGGGGTCATTATTCTGCCAATATTGGCTTATAATGTATAAATATGTAATATGTATGACAATAATAGTACAAAGAAGGGAGGTGGGAACAGAAGTATTTTGGAGCAAAGTATTTATATAAGATTAAAGTTAAGTTAATATTAATGCAAACTAGATTGTTTTAAGTTGAAATGCTAATTATAATCTTGAAGGCAACCAGCAAGAAAATAATTTCAAAGACTATTGTACAAGAAACAATATAGGAACAAAAATGGTACTCTAGAAAATATTTAGGTAATATAACAGAAGGTAGTAATGGAAGAATAGAGGAATAAAACAATAACAACACAAATAGAAAACAAATACCACAATACCAATTGTAAATCCCACCCCATCAGTGTATTAAATGTAAACATATTAAACACTACAGACTTTGTTAAACACTACAAGAAGAGGTTGGCAGGATGGATTTAAAAAATGTGATCCAAGTATATGCAATCTACCTGAGACACACTGTTTTTGTTTTTGTTTTTTGAGACACAGTCTCACTCTGTCACCCAGGCTGGAGTGCAATGATGTGATCTCAGCTCATTGCAACCTCCACCCCCTGGGTTCAAGTGATTCTCATGCCTCAGCCTCCTGAGTAGCTGGGACTATAGGCACGGGCCACCATGCCTGGCTAATTTTTTGTATTTTTAGTAGATACAGGGTTTCGCCATGTTGGCCAGACTGGTCTCAAACACCTGACCTCAATTGATCTGCCCACCTCTGCCTCCCAAAGTGCTGGGATTACAGGTATGAGTCACCATGCCCAGCCCCCGAGACAAACTGTAGATTCAAGGACACAAATAGTTGTAATGAAAGAATGGAAAAAGATATACCATGCAAAGAGTAACCACAAATGAGCTAAAATAGCATTACTAATACCAGATGAAATAAGCTTTAAGACAAAAATTGTAACCAGTGAGAAAAAAGGATATTTTGGCCGGGCACAGTGGGTCACGCTTGTAATCCCAGCACGTTGGGAGGCCGAGGTGGGTAGATCACAAGGTCAGGAGTTCAAGACCAGCCTGGGCAACACAGTGAAACCCTGTCTCTACTGAAAATGCAAAAATTAGCTGCGTGTGTTGGCAGGCACCTGTCATCCCAGCTACTCGGGAGGCTGAGGCAGGATAATCACTTTAACCCGGGAGGTGGAAGTTGCAGTGAGCAGAGATTGTGCCACTGCACTCCAGCCTGGGCAACAATGCTAGACTCCATCTCAAACAACAACAACAACAACAACAAATCAGAAAAAAGGGTATGTTATAATGATAAGAGGATATAATGATAGTCAGAAAACTGTAACAGTTGTAAGTATATATACACCTAATAACACAGGCCCAAAATACGTAAAGCAAGAATTAAAGCAAGCAATAGACAATTGAACAAATTGAAGACTTCAATACTTTACTTTCAATAATGAATAGAATAGCTAGGCAGAAGATTAACAAGGAAACAGAAGGCTTGAAAAACACTATAAACCAATTAAACTTAAGAAAACATTTGTAGAATACTCCACTCAACAACAGGAGAATACACATTTTTCTCAAGCATGTATGGAACATTTTTCAGGTTAGACCATATACTAAGCCATAAAACAGCCCTCAATAAATGTAAGAGGATTGAAATCACACAAAATATGTTTTGCAACTACAATGGAATGAACTTAGATATTAACAGCAGAAGGAAATTTGGGAAATTCACAAACATGTGAAAATTAAATAACATACTCCTAAATAACCAATGTGTTAAAGAAGAAATCACAAGGAAAATTTAAAAATATTTTGAGATAAATGAAAAGTCAATATACCAAAACTTATGAAATGCAGCTAAAGCAGGGCTTACAGGGAAATTTACAGCTAAAAACACCTATATTAAAAACAAGAAGAAAAAAAAAACCAGAGATATCTCAAATCAACAATCTAACTGTGTATCTTAAGGAACCAGATAATAAAGAATAAACAAAAACATAAAGCTTCCAGAAGGAGGGAAATAATAAAAGATAACAGCAGCCATAAACAAAATAGAGAATAGAAAAACAACAGAGAAAATCAATGAGACCAAAAGTTGGTCCTTGGAAAAGATCAACAGAATTGGCAAATCTTTGGCTAGATTGACCAACAAAAAAAGAGAGAAGTCTCAAAATACTAACATCAGGAATGAAATAGGAGATATCACTACTGACCTTATAGAAATAAAAAGGGTTATAAGGAACCCCTACGAATAACTATATGCCAATAAATTAAACAACTTAGACAAAATGGACAAATTCCTAAAAAGACCCGAAACTACCAAAATTGACTCAAGAGGAAACAGAACACCTGAATAGACCTATACCAAATTAAGAGACTGAATTAGAGTAAAAAAATCTTCCCACAAAGAAAAGCCCAGGAGCAAATGGCCTCACCCAACATTAAAGAAAACTTAATATAAATCCTTCATGAACACTTCAAAAAGACAGAAGACAAAGAAACATTTCCTAATTCTGAGGCCAGTATTACCCTGATATCAATCAGACAAAGCAAAGATATCACAAGAAAACTACTGACCAGTATCTTCAACAAAAAAGACCAAACCAGATCCAACAGCTTAGAGAAAGGATTATATACTACATCCAGGTAAAATTTATCCTACAAATGCAAGGTTGGTTCAACATCCAAAAGTTTATCAATGTAATAAAACATATTAATACAACAAAGGATATCAACTACAGATGTCTTAATAGATGCAGAAAAGGTAACGGAAAAAAGTATTCTAAAATCCTTTCATGACAAAAATACTCAACAAACTAAGAGAAGAAGGGAACCTATATACAAATGTTCATAGCAGCTTCAGTCATACATAGTAGCCTAAAAGTAGAAACAACCCAAATGTCTACCAACTGATGAATGAACAAAATGGTAATATCTATACCATGGAATACAATTTGGCAATATAAAAGAATGAGACACTGGTATATGTTACACTATGGATGAACTTTGAAAATATTCTGGTAAGTGAAAAAAGCCAGTCATAAATTATATGTTGTGTGATATCATTAATATAAAATGTCCAGAACAGGCACATCTATAAAGACAGAAAGTGATCAGTAGTTGCTTGGGGCTGGGTTTGGGGAGTGACTGCTAACGGGTATGGCGTTTCATTCTGAGTGATGAAAATGTTCTACAATTAGACTGTTGTGATGGTTGCAAACTGACTAAAAATTACTGAACTTTAAATGGATGAATATTATGATATATGAATTTTATCTCAATAAAACTGTTTTTAAAAGTCAGGACAAAATTGGACCCAAAATGCAAGTAAAATGGTTGTCACAGGGGAAGAAAGAGGGCACTTCCTCTCTGAAATGAGGGGGAAGTATTATAGGAGGTGAGCAAGAAAGCCTGGTAAATGGAGCTGAAACATCCTTACTTTCTTTTTTTTTTTGAGATGGAGTCTCGCTTTGTCACCCAGGCTGGAGAGCAGTAGCGTGATCTCGGCTCACTGCAACCTCTGCCTCCTGGGTTCAAGCAATTCTCCTGCTTCAGCCTCCCAAACAGCTGGGACTACAGGCACCTGCCACCATGCCCAGCTAATTTTTGTATTTTCAGTAGAGACAGGGTTTCACCATATTGGCCAGGTTGGTCTTGAACTCCTGACCTCGTAATCCGCCCGCCTTGGCCTTTTTTTTTTTTGAGATGGAGTCTTGTTGTGTTGCCCAGGCTGGAGTGCAGTGGTGCAATCTCGGCTCACTGCAACCTCTGCCTCCCAGGTTCAAGCAATTCTCCTGCCTCAGCCTCCTGAGTAGCTGGGATTACAGGTATGCACCACCAGGCCTGGGTAATTTTTTTGTATTTTTAGTAGAGACAGGGTTTCACCACGTTGGTCAGGCTGGTCTCGAACTCCTGATCTCAAAAAAAAGCCTTCCAAAGTGCTGTGATTACAACATCCTTACTTTCTCCTCCCGATCTCAAGCATTTTTAAGCAGCTTTCCCACCAAAATCTCCAAAGTGCTACCTTCTCACAGATGAGCTAAGTGACCAACTGCTATGGCCTCCCCATTCCAGTTCATCATCACTCACCTGGACACCATTCTTTTGTCTCATTCCTCTTAACCAACCAGGGCTCTTTCTTCTGCTCCAATAAGGAGATCACATTTGGCTTAGTATCAGAAAGCCCTGCTCAAACACAAAGGGAACAAGGTTTTGTTGTGGGTGTCAGAATTAAAAATCAGTCCCTAATTATCAAGAAAGAGGAGCAGGTAGATTAAGGGTCAGAAGAAGGAGTGAGGGTCAGAGCACCAGGGAAGATAAAGGTGCCTACTGGAACAGCCTATTTCCAGCTTCGCAAGAGACAAACCATTCTTTTGGTGAGCAAGAAACATTAACTCATCCAGGTACTTGAAAAGCACTTGTGACAAACTCAGAAAAAAGAACGTAAGAATTCCAGAAGGCCAGTTCTGTGTTTGGCGGGGCGGGGGGTGTGCAGAGGGGCAGATAAAGTTACCCAGTAAGACCAGGTTGCCGTAATTTTCCAACATTACATCTCGGTACAAATCCTTCTGAGCAGAGTGCAAGCATTCCCACTCCTTTTGAGAGAAGTAAATGACCACATCTTTGAACTTCAAGCCCTGAAATCACAAATAAATATACCATTTGTGAAATTCATGGACAAAATCTTTAAGACAATATAAAAGAAAATGGAGAAAGCAATTCAGTAGGGAAGTTCCATTAGGAAAACAGGCCATACTGGGCCCATTCAACATGGATGGGTCAGTGTGGAAACAGGGGTGATCAGAGTCAAGTGCCCACGTGGTTCTTGGGCATGCCTACTCCTGCAGAGGTAGCCTCTAGGCACTTCCATTATCCACCCACGTCGGAGAATAAACTAAGTCCACGTAAGCGGTTTTTCCCAATTAAATGAAACTGTGCTTGCAAGTACACAGCACACCCTATGTTAAGCACGCAAGCTTCTCATTGCCTCTTCCTCTTTCCCATTCAATAAATTAAATCCTAAATCAGTTTTCTACATCACTATTCTTAAATAGACAGCAATTTTACTGGCTGCATGATTCCTCATATAATGTTCTTATTTTGAGGAAGTCGGTTGGAGAAGTTCCCTAAAGGTTATTTTGCAGTTATGATAGTCATTATTTTTCAACAATTTATTTTATTTTTATTTTATTTTATTTTATTTTGAGACAGTCTCACTCTGTCACCCAGGCTGGAGTACAGTGGAGCAATCTCAGCTCACTGCTACCTCTGTCTCCCAGGTTCAAGTGATTCTCCTGCCTCAGCCTCCTGAGTAGCTGGGACCACAGGCATGGGCCACCACACCTGGCTAATTTTTGTATTTTTAGTAGAGACAGAGTTTCACCATGATGGCCAGGCTGTTCTTGAACTCCTGGACTCAAGTGATACATTCACCTCGGCCTCCCAAAGTGCTGGGATTACAGGCATGAGCCACCGTGCCTGGTCACTTGTTAACAATTTGTACTGTTCCTGTTACCACAAATGTCCCCAACCATACTCTCCTTGTTCCTTAGCTACCAGAACTGATGGAGAAAGATCCAGACTCACAACGATGTCACACGAGCTGCGCACATACTACACAAGTTCAAAATGGACACACTTTATCCAGCTGGCACAGACTCCTTGGGAATATCCTGTAACTCCATACAATCTACATATCTCAGGATATCCCCAGTCCTAAAATCCTCAGACAGCTAGAGATACTAGCTGATACTGAGACTGCAATACAATAAATCAACATCAATTCCTTTCTTGTCTAATTAGAAAACTCAAGTTTGCAATATGTGATTCCACTTAACCATTCATTTCCACTTCATTAAATCACAGCTCCAAGAAAGGAGGTATGAAAATTTCCATCAGGGATTGGTTTTCCTACTCCATCAGTACTCTCAGTGGAAGAATATGTATCTAAAAAATGCTAATCCTAGTATAGTGGCTCACTCTTGTAATCCCAACACTTTGGGAGGCCAAGGTGGGAGGATTGCTTGAGCCCAGGAGTTCAAAACCAACACAGTGAGATCCTGTTTCTAGAGAAAAATCCAAAAATTAGCCGGGTAAGGTGGCACATACCTGCAATCCCAGCTACTTGGGAGGCTGAGGCAGGAGGAGCTCTTTGAGCCTCGGAGGTTGAGGCAGCAGACCCATGATTGTGCCGCTGCACTCCATCCTGGGTGACCGAGCAAGACATTGTCTCAAAAAACCAGAAATGCTAAGAGGTTTGCTAATAAATACCTAAACAGTTCTTGGAGAACAGAGGGGCCCTTAAGAGACAGCAGCCTTGGCCAGGCACTGTGGCTCACACCTGTAATCTCAGCACTTTGAGAGGCCGAGGTGGGTGGATCACCTGAGGTCAGGAGTTTGAGATCAGCCTGGTCAACATGGCGAAACCCCGTCTCTACTAAAAATACAAAAATTAACCAGGCATGGTGGCGTGTGCCTGTAGTCCCAGCTACTAGGGGGGCTGAGGCAGGAGGATCGCTTGAACCTGGGAGGCGGAGGTTGCAGTGAGCCAAGATCGTGCCACTGCACTCTAGCCTGGGCAACAGAGCAAGACTCCGTCTCAATCAATCAATCAATCAATCAATAAAAGAGATAGCACCCTTTGGTAGCATTAGTGACTGAAATGGGAAGAACTGGACAACAAGTCCCTGGGGAAGGCAAGAAGTTTTAGGAAAAAGAAATCTGCTCAATCTGTTCAAATCTTCTAAAGCAAAGAGAAGGCATTCAGAAGCAGAGAGCAGAACAGTTGTTACCAGAGACGGGGTGGGGGTACAAATGCGGAGACGTCAGTCAGTGGGTACAAAGTTACAATCAGGAGAAATAAATTCTGGTGTTCTATTGCACAGTAGGGTGACTATGGTTAATGATAAAATATTGTATATTACAAAATAACTAGAAGAGGCTTTTGAATATTCTTACCACAAAGAAATGACAAATGCATGAGGTGATGGATACACCAACCACCCTGAATGGCTCTTTATACAACATAGATACGTACTGAAACATCAAATTGTACCCCATAAATATGATCCCGAAATGCTAGGATTACAATGTGTCTGATACGGTTTGGATATGTGTCCCCACTCAAATCTCATGGGGATTTCTAATCCCTAATGTTGGACGTAGGGCCTGGTGGGAGGTAATTGGAACATGGTGGTGAATACTTGATGAATGGCTTAGCACTGTCCCTTTGTTGCTGTTCTCGTGATAGTAAGTTCTTACGAGATCTGGCTGTTTAAAAGTGTCTAGCGCCTTCCCTGCTTCCTTCTGCTCTGGCCAGGTGAAGCGCTGGCCTCTCCTCTGCCTTCCACCATGATGGTAAGTTTCCTGAGCGCTCCCAGAAGCTGAGCAGATGCCAGCATCATGCTTCCTGAACAGCCTGCGGAGCTGGAGCTGTAAGCCAATTAAACCTCTTTTCTTTATAAAATCCCCAGTCTCGGGTATTTCTTTTTATTTATTTATTTATTTATTTTGAGACGGAGTCTCGCTCTGCCGCCCAGACTGGAGTGCAGTGGCCGGATCTCAGCTCACTGCAAGCTCCGCCTCCCGGGTTTACGCCATTCTCCTGCCTCAGCCTCCCGAGTAGCTGGGACTACAGATGCCCGCCACCTCGCCCGGCTAGTTTTTTGTATTTTTTAGTGGAGACGGGGTTTCACCGTGTTAGCCAGGGTGGTCTCGATCTCCTAGACCTCGTGATCCGCCCGTCTCGGCCTCCCAAAGTGCTGGGATTACAGGCTTGAGCCACCGCGCCCGGCCTCTCGGGTATTTCTTTATAGCAATGCGAGAAGGGACTAATGCAGTGTTAATTAAAATAAAAACTAGAAAAGAATGCATTCAGGCCAAGTGTGATGGCTCACGCCTGTGATCCTAGCACTTTGGGAGGTGGAGGTGGGAGAATTGCTTGAGTCCAGGAGTTTAAGACCAGCCTGGGCAACATACCAGGACCCCGCCTCTACAAAAAATAAAAAAATTAAAAAATTAAAGACTGCAGTGAAGGAGAGGAGACATACTAACACACTGATAATAGCTTTTACAACTACAAAATTTATACCCTAGGTTTTTACTAGAGAAAGCCTGGGAAAGCAAAACTGGAAGAAAAAGCAAGTAATGGGGATTTCATTGATCTTTTTGGATAAGAGAATTTTGATGACAAAATTCACCAGACCGACCTCAAGGTCCCCAAAGGCCTGAGAATGAATCCCTTCACTCCATCCCTGCTTTTGGTACTCCAACACAACACACACACACAGAGTCTGCTTTTTTTTTTTTCTCTGAGATTTGAGAAAGAATGAACAAGCCTTTGTCTTTCTTGAATCCCAGGGAATCCAACTATAGAAAAACAGATTCAGAAGAAACAACTTTCCCACTGTCAGGAGCTGATCAGAGCCCAGGGCCTGGGCTCCCTTTCGTACAACCTGGATGTCACTGAGACCCTCAGCCATGGAAGGCACCCCAAAGACTTGAGGGAGCCCTCAAGGCCCAGGAGCACAGGACACCTGGGCAGGCCCAGCTCTGGACAAAGATTTCTACAACAGAGGGTTCCAGCATCCCCCAAGCCTAATAGAGATAGGAGGAATAAATTCTAGTGTTCTACGCAGCAGTCACTTCCTGGGCTTTGCTCCTATATCCCAGAACTGAGGCCTTTGGAACTAAAACTAAAACCTCATTCTGCAAAGACTCTCCAGAATCAGCAGCACTGAGCCAGAAAACCCACAGGATCAGGAGGCCCTTAGCAGCCTCAGCAGAGCTCAATTACCCAGATACACAATGCAATGGCTTCCCATAAGACCATAGTTCCAGGAATCCTCATGGTCAGTACATCCCGGTTCCAAACTGAGATTACCCATGGCTTTCCTGCCTGACATTCTCTCTTGCTACTACCCCTAACCTTACTGCTGATAGTGTAGTGCACACTGCATCTCAAGGACAATCATTGTACTTTAAGCACTTTAAGTTCCTGGTGCCTACATATATTAATCCTCACGAGAAGGTCATGAATCCTAACTGAAAGGAAACTTTAGCTTGGAGAAGTGAAGTCATTTACTCAAATCTGCAGCTACAGTGGCATTGCTGGGTTTTGAATCTACTGAGAAATATCCAAGTCTGCACCTGGTTGCCTTCTAACTTCTGGCTCTTGTAGATGCAACCTGAGAATTTCCTGATCCTTTGAAGGAACCCTCAGCTGGCCCCTGCACTTAGGGGAGCAGAAAATGCTAGGTCTGCTGTGTTTGTCACTGCAGATCACAGCAGTCTATGAAGGGAGATCAAAGGGGTAGAAGGGAATGGGAAGAGAGGAGCAGCTGTGTCAACAAAAATCCTCTTATCCAAAAATACCAATCAAATCCCCATGACTCTGGCTCTACGTGGGCACTGGGGTCGCAGATAACTCTTACCTAGCATACATTTGCCCTTAAAAAGCTCAGTCACGGAGGGGGAAAAAAAAGAAGAGAAAATCAATCATAGGACACCGAGCTCTGTGGGGGACTAGTTACTACGTCCAAATCACCAGCTGAAAAATAAGAGATTGAATATCAAAAATACTTTAGAATGCAAGGATGAGCTGACAGAGAAGTAATCTTCAGCAGATAAAACTATATCAAAATGCGAACAGAGAGGCATATGCTGAGCCACTGAGGCTTATTTTCCCCAGGGAATGTCTATAGAGCCCAGATGACCATAAGCTTTGACATTTATGATCTTAAGGAGCAAGGGGAGAGAAGATCAAGCCTACACTGGCCAAGTGGGGGGTCTAATTAATTCCACACTACAAAGACCTGGGACCTCTAGAACCGTGCCCTTAGAGTAAGGGAAAACTAGATGTAGCATTCCCATTCTTAGGGTCTGCTAGGAAAACTGCCTGACTTGAACCTTGGCAGACGGTGGAAGGGAAACATTTTCCCCTGAGGAACTGTAACTACAAGCCAGCCCTCACACAGGCCTGCAGTTCACATAACGATACTAAGGTGGATCTAAAACACCTGCCATCTGTGTTTACTTTATGATGGTCCTGGTTTGGCAGGGCTCCTAGTAGAAGCAAACACAGACCTGCCCTAGAGGAACAACCTTCAATCAGGCCTCAAGAATCTACAGGTAGAATTCCAAGGAAAATAACCTATTAGTCAAAAATAAAAGCAACACAACATTGTGAATGCACTAAATGTCACTGAACTATGCACTTAAAAATGGTTAACTATATATTATATATTATGTGAATTTTGCCTAAACAAAAAATCAATTAAAAAAAAAATGGCCAGGTGTGGTGGCTCATGCCTGTAATCACAGCACTTTGGGAGGCCAAACTGGGCAGATCACTTGAGGTCAGGGGTTCAAGACCAGCCTAGTCCATCTGGTGAAACCCCATCTCTACTTAAAATACAAATTAGCCGGGCATGGTGGCGCATGCTTGTAGTCCCAGCTACTCGGGAGGCTGAGAAACAAGAATCGCTTGAACCTGGGAGGTGGAGGCTGTAGTGAGCCAAGATTGCATCAGTTATCCAGCCTGGGTAACACAGTGAGACTGTGTCTCAAAAAAAAAAAAAAAAAAGGAAAGAAACATACAAAGAGGCATAATTCCA